CAAATATTATAAAAAAGATTCCATGAGTTGAACTTTAGTGTAGCTGCTAAACTCCAGGGACAATGAATATATGCTACAAAGTTTCAGAGGGGAAATTTGAAGATTTTTAAAAGAAAAAAAAAAGAATCATACAATCATTGAATCTATCACTAATGACTCAATGTAAAAAACTGTGAAAGACAATCTATAGATACTTGAGGGGAAGAAAACAAAACTGTAATGTCAGAATCTTGCACTCATCAGAAATAACATACATCTGTTGAAAGGAGCAAAGAAAGACATTTCAATGAGCTTTATGTGAGGATGGAATGAGGTTATCATCAGATCTTCCCTAAAAGCAATGATCAAACTAGATATATTTAAATATATATATTTACATATATATAGATAGATAGATAGATAGATATAGATATATATAGATATATATCAGAGCACTGGTAAAGATATACAAAGACATACAACAAATTTAAAAAGATTTATACATGAAAACTACTAAACCTTGGTCCAAAATAATATGAGACTATGGCATTCTGTTTTTTTTTTTTTTTTTTTTTGAGATGGAGTCTCGCTCTGTCGCCCGGGCTGGAGTGCAGTGGCCGGATCTCGGCTCACTGCAAGCTCCGCCTCCCGTGTTCACGCCATTCTCTTGCCTCAGCCTCCCGAGTAGATGGGACTACAGGCACCCGCCACCTCGCCCGGTTAGTTTTTTTGTATTTTTTAGTAGAGACGGGGTTTCACGGTGTTAGCCAGGATGGTCTCAATCTCCTGACCTCGTGATCCGCCCGTCTCGGCCTCCCAAAGTGCTGGGATTACAGGCTTGAGCCACAGCGCCCGGCCGAGACTATGACATTCTTATCTGAGTCTTCCTTTATTCCCTTAACTCAGCCTCAGTTACTCAGTTATTCTACCAAAGACCAGTCATGAAAAACAAAACACCTCATCACTAAAGAGAGCCCATAGTGACCCTGGATCTCCAGATTCAGAGAGGAATATATTGTGAGATTTACAGTAACATAAGTGAGTTTAGAGAGAGTGAATGACAAAGGCCAGCAGATCCATTAGCCAGAGGTTGTGATTATGTATGAGAAACAATGGACCAGATTTAAAGTTTGGCAGATTAGCCAACAATTTAAAAGAAAGATCCAGGAAATGAATAACCCTAAGGGGTTATAATAAACACACCATACATTCCCATGGTTGGCTGTAAGGCTGTGCGTTTGTAGGAGAAACTAAAGTGGGCCTCATCTATCCATACATTCCTGGCTAACTGTGGGAATGTGCCCAACTTCAGAAAAGATACAAGATGGTCAGCCAAAGTGAGAGTGAAACATACTTGTGAAACACCTTGAATCCATTATTTTAACACACACACATATAACCACTAGTAAGGGTGGTAGCCTTTAGACTCAAGATGTATAAGTACAACTTTTGCCTAATGATGACATGAACACTAAGCTATATAAACACAGAAGCAATCCCTAGGGACTCAGGCTTAAAAATTTAGATTTAAATTCCAAAAATTGATTAGAAATATCTGTGAACTAATGTCATGAGATTGCTCAGATTTAATCCAGGCAAGGTGCTAACCAATAACAACAACAAAAAAGAGCAACAAAACAACCCTTGGAAGAGAACTTAGAATTCACTAAAAATATAGTATCAAAAATGACAATTTTTCAGTGAAAACTTAAGAGACAACAGAACATACGACACACACACCAGTATGTTGTGGGCAGTCAGGGACCCCGAATAGAAGAACCAGCTGAAGCCATGGCAGAAGAACATAAACTGTGAAGATTTCATGGACATTTACTGGTTCCCCAAATTAATACTTTTATAATTTCTTATGCCTGTCTTTACTGCAATCTCTGAACATAAATTGTGAAGATTTCGTGGACATTTATCACTTCCCTAATCAATACTCTTGTAATTTCCCATGTCTGTCTTTACTTTAATCTCTTAATCCCATCATCTTCATAAGCTGAGGATGTATGTCTCCTCAGGACCTTGTGATGATTGCGTTAACTGCACAAATTGTTCAAAAAGCATGTGTGTTTAAACAATACGAAATCTGGGCACCTTAAAAAAAGAACAGGATAACAGCGATGTTCAGGGAACAAGGGAGATAACTATTAGGTCTGACTGCCTGAGAACTGGGCAGAACAGAGTCATATTTCTCTTCTTACAAAAGTGAATAGGAGAAATATCACTGAATTCTTTTTCTCAGCAAGGAACAGACCTGTGAAAGAGAATGCATTCCCAGGGGCAGGTCTCTAAAATAGCCGCTCTGAGAATGTCTGTCTTACATGCTTGCAGATAATGGATGAAATAAGCCCCAGTCTCCTGTGGTGCTCCCAGGCCTATTAGGACAAGGAAATTCCTGCGTAGTAAATTTTAGAGCGGTTGTCTGCTCTCAAACCCTATCTCTTGATAAGATGTTATCAATGACAATGCATGCCTGAAACTTCATTAGCAATTTTAATTTCACCCCGGTCCTGTGATCTCTCTCTGCCCCCATTTATCTTGTGATATTTTATTGCCTTGTGAAGCATGTGATCTCTGTGACCCACACTCTATTCATACACTCCCTCCTCCTTGAAAATCACTAATAAAAACTTGCTGGTTTTGCAGCTTGGGGGGCATCACAGAACCTGCTGACATGTGATGTCTCCCCCAGACATCCAGCTTTAAAATTTCTCTCTTTTGTACTCTTTCCCTTTATTTCTCAGACCGATCGACACTTACGGAAATAGAAAAGAACCTACATTGAATTATCGGGGGTGGTTCCCCTGATACCATTAAAATGCTGCCAATAGAAAGTGTTTGATATTAAAACTAGCAGACAAAGCTTTTAAAGCAGCTATTATAAATATGTTTAAAAAAATGAAAACCATCTTCAAAGAATTAAAAAAAAATGATGACAGTGATTCATCATAGACAGAATGCCCATAGAGAAACTAAACACTAAGAGAAACAAATGGAAATTCTGGAGTTGAAAAGTAAAAAGACTAAAATAGAAGATTTTCTAGAGGTTTTCAATAGGTGATTTGAAATGGCAGAAGAAAGCATCCATATACTTTAAGATACAGAGATAGAAATCTAAAGAACATAAAGAATATAATACATATTATCTTTTTTCAGTAAATCAATGCCTCTGTTTGGAATCCTCAGTACCAGTTTTTTGTATTTCTCAGACAGGTCAGCCTTCACACATCTCCCCTGAAACCAAAGGGCTTTTTTCAAACAATGGTCAACGATTGCCATTGCATCTTCTCTTGTCTCCATCTCAATAAAAGCCTGAATTTTCATCATCATCAATATGTAATTCTTTATTTTCCAATAAGGCTCAGCAAAGTTGAGGACAACACTGTCAGAATAGCCAGAATGGGGAAAATTGCTGTGACATGTGTGACATGTCCAAGCTATTGCTTTTGATCAAACTTCTGATCTGGCTCTCCTTCAGGTTTCTTTATTCTGTTATACTTCTGGGATAAATGAACTGCCAATGGCTTGCCTAATACTAATGCTGATGTGGTTGTATCATAATCCATTGTAACCTGAGCATCCTCTGTGGTTGCCATTTCAATAAATGCCTCATTAATTTTATTTAGAATCATATGATTTGAAATGACTCCAAATGGTTCTACTAGGTATCTCAAGTTTTTCCCTTATTGAAAATCCATGATGTGAACAACTCTGCTAGTTTCCACTCTGCCTTTTTGCATGTGTCTAGGTCCTTGCAGGTTTCTATTCCCAGCACCCAGATTTCCTCTTGGTCCAACTGTTGGTCCCCCAAGATGAAATGAGGAAGGTGGAGGGTCTTAGAATTCCTGGCACTGGATTTGTAGACTACTGCAACATGAATGGATCACCCATTGTGTGTCCTGTATCATTGTTAGGATTCCATTCTGGGTAGATTTCAAGAAGAAGCTGGCATCGATGACTATGACTTGCTCCATTGATATGCTGACTCCACTCCTTATTAGAATGAACTGGCAACTCACATATAGAGCACAGATGGGGATATCCCTTTGGTAAGAGTCTATGGAAGTCTTCAATATTGCTACTTGGAGGAGCACCCCTCTTTTTCTCAAAGAGAGATCTCTCTTGTAAGGGGCCAGGACCACATCCCATTCTCTCATATTCACTGTCAAATTTATGATAATTATGTGAGATCTCACCAGAAAAAGAATCATCACTACACCTTCCTCCATCTCTTAATCTGTCATCTTCATAATTCATTCTGTCATAATAACCAGATTCTTGAGAATGACTTCCATGGTCATAATCAATCACTGGGTTAAGACTAGGAACACGATCATCAAAACTCTTCTAAAGTGCCTTTCTTTTCTTCCCAGTCATCCTTAGGTACTGTGTATGGTGGCTCCCGTGTAGCAGACCTGCCATCTGTACCATAACTCAAGGTAGGGCCTTCTTCAGTTCTCCTCCTTTCAAGCTGTAGAAGGATTTGGGGCAAATTCTCAGGAGTAATCTTGTCCTCTGGATAATGATTCAGTTCATCTAAATCTCTAGCAAACAGACCAAAGCTGGCCAAAATGTTACTGGCCTGGTCTGCATCTCCACAGTGTTGAGAAGATAAAGGGAGTGGACCTCTACTTCCAATGTTAAATATAGACTGCAAATGATGGGAAGAAGTACTAGCAGAAGACAGTGCACTATGAGCTCCTTGTTGGTTCAATGAAGAACCCATTCCAAGATTCATTAAACTAGCAAGGCACGCAGTACCCTGGTCTATCCTTTCAAGAGATGCTGGCATACTTAAAATACTGGGTAGCAGCAGCAGGAAGGCCTATTTCTGCCGCAGACAGGTCATGCCCGTGACCCTGTGAGTCCCTACTGAGAGATGACTGCTGGAATGACTTGGACTTTTTAGAACTAGCTCTTGTCTATTTTATAGATTAAAAAACATTTTTTTTTAAGACGGCCAAAAAGAAAGCTCAAACTAGAAAGCTAGGTTAACTTTGCTTCAAAAAATTGTAATGCCAAGAAAAAGGATCAATAAGGACTGCAGAATCTTCTTCAAGTGGAGCACCAGCAGACAACTCTCCCAGAGAGCTGATCGCGGAGGCTCCTACAATCCGCCGCAGCAACGGTGCTGGCGAGAGGTGGAAGCAGCGGCTGCAGCCCAAGAACTCTCCAGATGACAAAGAATCTCCAAGTGACAAGAAATCCAAGATGGTTCCCAGAAGACTGAAAGTTCAACCGAAGGTAAAGAACAAGAAGAGAAGTCCGGTGAAGACGGTGAGAAAGACACAAAGGATGACCAGACAGAGCAAGAACCTAATATGCTTCTTGAATCTGAAGATGAGTTACTTGTAGATGAAGAAGCAGCAGCTGCACTGCTAGAAAATGGCACTTCAGTGGGAGACGAGACCGATCTTGCTAATTTAGGTGATGTGGCTTCTGATAGGGAAAAGGCACCTTCAGATGCTGTGAAAAAAGATGCAAGTGCTTCAGCAGCAGCAAAGAAAAAAACTTAAAAAGTGTCGTTTCCCAGGGAGTATGGAAAGATTTGTCACTCTGGATGAGGTTGGTGATGAGAAAGATTCGGAACTTCAGAAACTTCGTAAATAGGTCATGGCATTTAAATCTGGTGACAGAAATGATAGGTTGGTTGAAATTAAGGTGGACAAGATCGAGGCACTTGATCAAGAAAATGAAGCAGCGTTGGAAAATGGAATTAAAAATGAGGAAAACACAGAACCAGGTGCTGAATCTTCTGAGAACGCTGATGATCCCTACAAAGATACAAGTGAAAATGCAGATGGTCAGAGTGATGAGAACAAGGAGGACTATACAATCCCAGATAAGTATAGAATTGGACCGTATCAGCCCAATGTTCCTGTTGGTATAGACTATGTGATACCTAAAACAGGGTTTTACTGTAAGCTGTGTTCACTCTTTTATACAAATGAAGAAGTTGCAAAGAATACTCATTGCAGCATCCTTCCTCGTTATAAGAAATTAAAGAAATTTCTGAATAAATTGGCAGACAAACGCAGACAGAAGAAGGAAACAAGATGTGCAAGAAATTTGATGATTTCAAAGAAAATAATGGTTCTTTGTTTTTAATGTTAACCTTTTTAAAATACAATACTGATAGAAGAAAACTATTGTACTCTTTTGTTTTAGTGGAGAAATAATAGATGTCTGTTCATGTGTTAAGTGTTATAGCAAAAAAAAAATACACATATGGTTAAGTTAATGAATATTTTTTGTTTTATCAGAATGACAACAGACAGAAGTACTTTGTAGAGATTGACTTCCTAAGCTACTTAAGACAACTTGCACCATTAAGAAAAAAAATGAAGAACCATTTGGAAAAATGAAATTCAGTAGTTCCAAGTTTCAAAGAAATGTCAACATTTTATTCCATTCAATAAAGAACAAAACCAATAGTATTTTTGTTACTTTCATCTGAAACATTCCATGTTTTAATCTGAGCCTTGCAGACTTTCATTTGGAGTTTGAACGTGTTTTGGTTGCATTTCATTTTTGGAGAACTTCATTAACGTGAGATTGGCAATTCAAATGCAGGTGCAGTTTTCTGTTAATGTCATGCTATTGTTTGGGTAATAAGAAATATTAAGTAATTGCCTTTAGACTTTGTAATCTTTCCCTTGAGTTCCTGCTAGATTTCATATTCTAGTAGCCAATGTATTTTCAGTGAAATATAAAAATATTCCCGTTCTCTTTGACCAGTATTAATTTTTGAGATCTTATTGCTTGTCATTTGATTCCTGTCATACATCTCTGGTATAAGCAACATTTGATTTTTGAAGTGTGTAACCATCTCTTCATATTTTCAAGAGGTAATTTTACATTTCTGCATTTTAAAAACGGTTTGGCCATAATCCTAGATGCACACTTCTAATTTATGTACCTGCACATGTGACCTTTGTGAACTGAAACTTGCATGTAAAATTTGTGTTTACTTGTAACTTTCTGGTTATATACTGTTTATATCTGTGGATTCAAGTTACTGAAGTGAATACCAATAAAAAGAAAATCCCTGGGTCATGTTCACTGGTTATACATGTTTGGAATGTTAACCAAAAAACAAAAAAAAAAAAAGAAAAGAAAAGAGAAAAAAGAATATAATATATATTAAGAAAAATTAACAGTATTTCAGAAACCTGTGAGACAAAGAATCTAATTTTAAAAATGGGCAAAGGATATGAACACTTCACTGGAGAATATATCTCAGTTTTAATAAGTACATGAGAAGATGCCCATTTAATCATTAAGAAAATGCTAATTTGAACTATAATGAGCTAGCATTATATACTTATGAGAATGAGACACAAGATATCTCTTCTCATATACTTAATAGAAAAGACAAATATAATAAGTGTGAATAATGTGGAGAAACTACAACCTTCACTCATTGCTTTTGGGAATATTCAGTTATTCAGTCATCTTAAAAAGAGTTTCACATTTGTCCAAAAAAATTAAACATAAATTTACCATATATCCCTTAGTAAATGCCCCTTTATTCAATTTTTGGGATTTCCACAAAAGAAATAAAAATATATGTCCATAGAACATTCTTGTATGTCACTGTTTGTACTAGGGTCCTCTAGAGGGACAGAACTAATAAGATATGCATGTATATGATAGGGAGTTTATTAAGGAAGATTGACTTACACGACCAAAAGGTAAAGTCCCATGATAGTCTGCTTGCAAGTTGAGGAGCAAGGAAGCCTGTAGTGGCTCAGTCTGAATCCCAAAACCTCGTAAGTACTGAAGCCAAATTGGAGCCTTCAGTCTGTGGCCAAAGGACTGAGAGCCCCTGTTGGTGTAAGTACAAGAGCCCAAACGCCGAAGGACTTGGGGTCTGACGTTTGAGGGCAGGAAGCATTTGACAGGGGAGAAATAGGCAGGCCAAAAGACTCAGCAAGTCTGCTATTCCATCTTCTCCTGCTTGCTTTATTCTAGCCATGCTGGCAGCTGATTAGATGGTGCCCATCCAAATTGAGGGTGAGTCTGCCTCTCTCAGTCCACCGACTCAAATGTTAATCTCTTTGGAAATACCTCAAAGACACACCCAGGAACAGTACTTTGCATCTTTCAATCCAATCAAGTTGATACTCAGTATTAACCATCACAGTATCCACAGTATCCAAAATAGTATTGTTTCTTACAGTTCCAAAAAAGGCATTATCCAAATTATCAATATTCATTTCAAATATTTCATTCATGAAATACTCATCTACTTAACTCAATTAAACTAAAAAATATACAATTGTTTATAAGGAGATCTGTTCTCACTATGATGAAAAGCATTTGACATGAAAAAATAATCCAAACAACTTCAGTAAAGTCAAATATTTTTAAATTAGGTGCCTATATTTTTTATACTTACCATAATCCTTAAATTGCTAGAACTTTTAAGTAAAGTGGGAGTGGTGACTTACATCTTAATTCCAGCACTTTGGAAGGTAAATGGATGAACTGATAAGTGGATGAACAAAACGTGGCATAACTAAATGATAGTGTATTATTAAGCAATAACAAGAATAAATTATGCATACATTGTGTTATATGAATGAATCTCAGAAACATTAAGTGAAAGGGGCCAGGTGCAAAGGACTCTCAAATGATAACTTTTTAATAAAATGTCCAGAAAGGCAGATTTATATAAACAAAAAGCAGAGAGAAGAATCAAATAGACACAATAAAAAATGATAAATGGGATATCACCACCGATCCCACAGAAATACAAACTACCATCAGATAATACTATAAACATCTCTACTCAAATAAACTAGAAAATATAGAAGAAATGGATAAATTCCTGGACACATACACCCTCCCAAGACTAAACCAGGAAGAAGTTGAACACGTATGTTTATTGCTGCACTATTCACAATAGCAAAGACTTGGAATCAACCCAAATGTCCATCAATGATAGACTGAATTAAGAAAATGTGGCAGATACACACCATAGAGTACTATGCAGCCATAAAAAAGGATGAGTTCACGTCCTTTGTAGGGATATGGATGAAGCTGGAAACCATCATTCTCAGCAAACTATCGCAAGAACAGAAAACCAGACACCGCATGTTCTCTCTCATAGGAGGGAATCGAACAATGAGAACACTTGGACACAGGATGGGGAACATCACACACTGGGGCCTGTTGTGGGGTGGGGGGAGAGGGGAGGGATAACATTAGGAGATATATCTAATGTAAATGATGAGTTAATGGGTGCAGCACCCCAACATGGCACATGTATACATATGTAACAAACCTGCACATTGTGCACATGTACCCTAGAACTTGAAGTATAATTAAAAAAAAAAAAAAGTAGATTAGGGGTTGCCTCTGGTTGAGGATAGAAACAGGAACTGACTAAAAAGGCACAGAAATGAACTTTTTTGTGTGATGTAAATGTCCTAAAAATGGACTATGGAGATCATTTTGTCAATCTATAAATTCTCTAAATGTCACTGATTTTCAATGAGTGAATTTTATGGTATGTAAATTATATCTCAATCAAGATATATAAAAATGAAAACATCCAAATAAAAGGAAAACAATTTGAACATACCATGACTCAGAATGTAGCTATTTACATTCTTTCTCTGAGAAAAATCATTAAATATGTATATACATGAAATGAAAATTCAGTCAGAAGAGAAATCCTGTGGGAAGGAAGAATAAATGATACAGGAGATTATGTAAAATACTCCCCTCTGTTTTTTATATCTTTTCATTTATCTGTCTCTAGCCTTCTGTCCACTCATCCATCCACCTTTCCATCTATATCACTGTATTGAACTCTGTAGAGTACTTTCAATAATACTGCATTTTTCTCCCATGACTACCTTCAAAAATACAGTTTCATATCTTTCCTTACTCATTAGAGAAAACTTCAACAGGTCCTCTAGCTGATGAATTACTTTCAACTACGTAAGTAGTCTAATAGGTATTAAAAAGTACAAAATCTCAATAAAAACCTAAGTCTCAAATCCACTTATAACTTCTTTATTTTATTTACTTCTTTTGAGTTGGAGTCTTGCTCTGTAACTCAGTCTGGAGTGGAGTGGCAAGATTAGGGCTCACTGCAGCCTCCAACTCCCAAGCACGTGACAACCTGCCCACCTAAATTTGTGGAGTTTTGGTGGAGATATGATTTGGCCATATAACTCAAACTGATCTCAATCAGATTGAGGTTGAGCCAGATCTGATCTTACCCAGATTGAGACTCCTGAGCTCAAGCAATCCACCTGCCTTGGCCTCCCAAAGTGCTGGGAATTAAGGTGTAAGTCACCACTCCCACTTTACTTAAAAATTCTAGCAATTTAAGGATTATAGTAAGTATAAAAAATATAAGTAGCTAATTTAAAAATATTTTACTTTACTGAAGTTGTTTGGACTATTTTTGCATGTCAAATGCTTTTAATCATAGTGAGAACAGATCTCCTTATAAGCAATTGTATATTTTTGAGTTTAATTGAGTTAAGTAGATGAGTATTTCATGATCAAATTTAGATTTTCTAGAAGGGATAGCCTCAATATTAGAAATTCAAACACATAATTCATTCCATCAAATTATTATTTTTAAAATAGAACAATTAGAGCTATCTCTATTCCATATATAGTAAAGAGTTAATAGTTTTTTAGAAATAACCTGTTTGTTTTAAACAGAGAGCAAATGAATCATCATGGTATGAAAAAAGCTAATAGCCTCTTTAGAATTTAGGGAAAACATGTACTGAATGAATCTCTTTAACATTCACTAACTCTGTATCTAAGACCACTAGACACTGATAATAACATAACCTAATTTTGTTCAAAGCTTCAACCTAAGAAAAAATACATACTGAATTATAGCAAAAGAGAAGAATGGGATCTACTGAAATATTTTCCTCCAGACTAAACTCTTAGTCTCAGCTTCAGACCTACAATTTTGTTATAGATTTTACTGGATTTAATGGAGAAAACAAAGCTAAAGGAGCATTGTTTTTGTTTTCTACTTTTGCATAACAAATGTACCCAAGACATAGAGGCCTAAAAAATCACATTTATTATCTCCCAATTTCTATAGTCAGGAATCCAGACATGATTTAGTTGGATACTCTGTTGTAGGGTTTCTCACAAGGATACAAATATAATGTTGGCTGGGCTATGATCTCATTAAAAGGCACAGTAAGCTCACTCATATGGTTGTTATTCCTCAAGGGTTATTGTAATTAAGGACACAATTCCTCGCTGGCTGTTGGCCGGAGGCCACCTTAAGTTCCTTGTGACATGGATCTCTCCATACAACACAGTGTGATATAGAAAGTGTGAGCAAACAGAGGCATAGTTTTTATAGACGTGTTTCAGAAGTGAAATGACAAATTTTTCACATCTTATTTTTAAAAGCAAGTTACAAGGTCTGGCCCAAACATGAGTGAAGTGG